GCCCTAGCCAGAGGTGCCTGGCCCTCTGGCAAAGGCCTGGCTCATGCGCAGGAGAGCCGCGGTCCTCATCTCTGTCAGGAGGTCTCCGCTGAGCGCCTGGCCAGCGGAGAGCGACCTATCCAGGGCCCCCGTGATAAAGGCCATGTTGTTAGCCAGGGCGACGACCTGAGCCGCGTTGGCATAACACCTGTCCAGCATAGCCAAAGACATCCTGTCCCGCTCGGAGGGAAGGAGAGGTCTGGCGCCGGGCCACACGGATGCGGAGGGCTGCAGAGCCATGCGGACTGAGTCCTCGATGTCCGGGACACCACCGGCCCAGGACCAGTCCTGCATGCTGCAGTACATGCCGTACCCCAGAGCAGGCCTCTTGGCTGCTAGGGGCTTTGGCCACTCACGTGTCGCGTAATGGAGGATCGGGTCCATCCGCGAGCACAACGTGGGTTGCTTCCTCCTCCTCCCTCGAGTGGTGGCGCCCACCGAGGTGAAGTCCTCCACCGCCTGGTCCGGCTGCGGTGGTAGAGGAGCGTTCATCATGGCCGCCGCGGAGGAGTAGAGACTGGGCATGTGATCCAGAGGGAACCGGTCCGGCTCCGGGTCTCGCTGGAGTTCTCCGGGCGCTGGAGCACCGGAGAACGTACGCCTGCGCCCACTCTCCTCTCTGGGGAGAGCGAGACACGAGGCGCAGCTAGCGCTCTCCGCCGCATGGCCCGAGCCCAGGCACAAGAACAGCGTGAATGCTGGTCCGTGCGCGGGAGCCTGACCCGACACTCAGAGCAACGACGACGTCCGACGCCGGAGGGCGAAGGGGAAATCGGACGAGCAGTCGAGGCAGACATCTCAGCAGACAAAGTAGATGTAGTAAATGTAAGTATGATCTCAATCGGCGCGGCCTTGTGCAGGGGCTTTTATAGAGGAGGGTCGCTAGTGATTGGAGCATATTTATATATATTTTATCTCTCTGGCGTGTGACCTGGGGGTCACGTGATATCCCACTAGCGAAGTCCTAAGGGACGTAGCACCATGACATAGAAGTGAGAAAACTGGATGGAACCAAACTGTTCTGAAGTAAAGTATTCCCTTCAAAAAAGCAAGCAAAGGCAAGGTTTTTTGTATCACAAATGCTTAACAAATGCTTGATTGATTGATGCTTGAAGTGAGATCAGAGCAACGGCCATATAAGGCATTTAATTAATAAATAATCACAGTACATTACAACGTGTGTTTGTCAGATTTTAGCTACATACATTTGAAATGCAGCCTCCCCATGTTTAGTCCTGACTCTGGGACCAGCAGGAGACCAGTCCCTGTGCTCCTCAGAGTCCCAGCAGGAGACCAGTCCCTGTGCTCCTCAGAGTCCCAGCAGGAGACCAGTCCCTGTGCTCCTCAGAGTCCCAGCAGGAGGCCAGTCCCTGTGCTCCTCAGAGTCCCAGCAGGAGGCCGGTCCCTGTGCTCCTCAGCGTCCCAGCAGGAGGCCAGTCCCTGTGCTCCTCAGAGTCCCAGCAGGAGACAGTCCCTGTGCTCTTCAGCATCCCAGCAGGGGGCCAGTCCCTGTGCTCCTCAGAGTCCCAGCAGGAGGCCGGTCCCTGTGCTCCTCAGGGTCCCAGCAGGAGGCCGGTCCCTGTGCTCCTCAGAGTCCCAGCAGGAGGCCAGTCCCTGTGCTCCTCAGAGTCCCAGCAGGAGGACGGTCCCTGTGCTCCTCAGAGTCCCAGCAGGAGGCCCCAGTCCCTGTGCTCCTCAGAGTCCCAGCAGGAGGCCAGTCCCTGTGCTCCTCAGAGTCCCAGCAGGAGACCAGTCCCTGTGCTCCTCAGAGTCCCAGCAGGAGACCAGTCCCTGTGCTCCTCAGAGTCCCAGCAGGAGGCCCCAGTCCCTGTGCTCCTCAGAGTCCCAGCAGGAGGCCCCAGTCCCTGTGCTCCTCAGAGTCCCAGCAGGAGGCCCCAGTCCCTGTGCTTCTGAGTCCCAGCAGGAGGCCAGTCCCTGTGCTCCTCAGAGTCCCAGCAGGAGGCCAGTCCCTGTGCTCCTCAGGGTCCCAGCAGGAGGCCGGTCCCTGTGCTCCTCAGGGTCCCAGCAGGAGGCCGGTCCCTGTGCTCCTCAGAGTCCCAGCAGGAGGCCGGTCCCTGTGCTCCTCAGAGTCCCAGCAGGAGACCGGTCCCTGTGCTCCTCAGAGTCCAAATTTAGTACATGTGGTACTAACATGCCACAGATGTTCTCTGGTGTGAGACTAGAGACTTATTGAACTCGTTCCTAAAATCGCTGAGTGTTCAGAACAACAAAAACACTATAAAGGGCGACAGTAGCTCAGTTGGTAGAGCTGGCGTTGGCCTTTGAGCCAGAAGGTCATGGGTTCGAGCCCACCTCAAGACTTTCACCATCGACTCCCACTGTCTGCTGTCGTGTGCTTGGGCAAGACACTTAACCTCTGGGAACACCTGATGCCACAGTGGGGTGGCTGCGGCTGTAAAGTGCCAAACTGCCGTTGTGTCCTTAGGCAAGACACTTCCCCCACATTAGAATGAGTCTGGTGTGTGTGTGAGTGGTTGGTGGTGGGAGAGGCCGAAAAAAGCGCTATATAAAACCAATGTATCATCATCATCATTATATAAACTAACATTTAAATCACAATTTGCAGTTCCTGAATTCAACATTTTAATTGATTCATTATTTAAGTACAGTTTTTTCTTTTTCTTTTACATATTTAAGCGCAGTCTTACTGTTGAAACTGTGTAAAATGATACAATGGCTGACAATATTAAATATACTTCTTTAGGAATTGTTACTGCTAGTTCAGCCCGGTTTGTCCTTAAACAGTCGCCCGATGAAATTTATTAACAGGAATGAAACCTCTGCTTGTTTTTGATGAATACTTAGGCTTACTACGCTACTGTATAGTATTAGTCATTTGTGGTGGTACTTGGAGAGGCAAGTATTTTCTGAGGTGGTACTTGGAGAGGCAAGTATTTTCTGAGGTGGTACTTGGAGAGGCAAGTATTTTCTGAGGTGGTACTTGGAGAGGCAAGTATTTTCTGAGGTGGTACTTGGAGAGGCAAGTATTTTCTGAGGTGGTACTTGGTGTAAAAACTTTGAGAACCACTGTGCTAGTATGTCAGCGCCGTGAAGTCCCATGCACTACTGAGCACAAGCCGTTCATTTGAATAGGGCGCCATCTTGGATCAATGGGGCTTGCTCTGAACATGGCCACGGGAGACGGCTCCTTGGGAACTACATTATTAACAGGTGCATTATGGGAAATATAGTGACGGACTTTGAACAGTGATATTTGTGCCACAATTCAATATTACTGAGATTCTTACAATATTGCGACAGTTTTGTGATTTGATTCTGTGATTGATTGAATCATATCAAGGACATGAATCACAAAGACTCTATAAACATGGAGGAAAATAACGTTTCCAGGCTATTAACAGAAACGACCAGGCTCCTAATGCAAACTTCTCAGCGTACATACGAGTTTGAAAAACAATGTAGTTCTAGCGCCCGGCCAGTAGTGGGCAGAGAAACTTTACAACACTCACACGACCCCCAGCCCCGTGCCCAGCCCCCCCTCTCGGCAGTGTACTCACTTCCTGTGCCAGACCCTCAGAACGTACCAACATCATTCTGCATTTTAACAGCAGCTGTGAAAATGGAAACTGAACCTAGAGCTTCGTTTGGTCTCGTTTGAACGAACGAAAGAGTAGAATTATCCTCTGTCCCGCGCTCGAAGCCCACAAAGCTAGTTAGTTTACCGGCCGCCATTGTTGTTTACGTTTGTTCTCCGCTACTGCGCATGTCCAAATTTACGTGCGGGGAGCAGCGGGGAGGTGGGGGTCAGAGCAGAGGGGGATTTCACACCTTTCTCCCTCTCGCGAGTGTGAAAGAGAGCCCCCGCTGTGCAGCGTATCTGAGTTGTCCCACTCTGCAGGCTGGATCTGAACACTTACGTTTTGACCTGAAACACAGTCTTCGTATGAACGGTTGGTAGCAACCGACATCCAACTATATCGTTTTACTGCCACATTGTCTCCGTGTAAACTCAGCCTAAGACTCAACTCAAATGTACAGTAATTTAATCAAGACATCATAGTCACAACAAACAGACGTCAAAGAGGAACAACAAACATCACAGAGGAACAGAAAGCTCAAACTTGAAAATGAAACAGATATTTACATTGAATATATAATTTCCTCCACTGTATCATGAGAACTAAATATGGCGATACTGAACAGAATCGATTATTTCCCAAACCACGAGTTAAGACTGAAGTGAGAGCCTGTAGAGTCTGACTCTGGGTTCACGTGACGCAGCCTCAGCTCTGTCTCCTTCACTTTGTTCCAGATTCTTCAGACCTGCTTCTCTACACGTTTTAATGTGTTTATGAAGAGATGATCCATAAGTAAAAGACTTTCCACACTGGTCACACTCGTACGGTTTCTCTCCAGTGTGGATCCTCTGATGAACTTTGAGATGGCTACTGCGAGAAAAACTCTGATCACAAACGTCACAGCTGAAGGGTTTCTCTCCAGTGTGGATCCTTTGATGAACTTTGAGATGACTACTGCGAGAAAAACTGTGCCCACACTGGTCACACTCGTACGGTTTCTCTCCAGTGTGGATCCTTTGATGAACTTTGAGATGGCTACTGCGAGAAAAACTCTGATCACAAACGTCACAGCTGAAGGGTTTCTCTCCAGTGTGGATCCTTTGATGAACTTTGAGAGAATCACTGCGAGAAAAACTCTGATCACAAACGTCACAGCTGAAGGGTTTCTCTCCAGTGTGGCTCCGATGGTGACGTGTGCGCTCTCTTGCTGTTTTAAAAGGTTTACTGCAGAAGTCACATGCAAATGGTTTTTCTCCAGTGTGGATTCTGCTGTGGACCTTGAGATGTTCTTTTGTAGAAAAACCTGTTCCACACAGATCACACTCGTATGGTTTTTCTCCAGTGTGAGTTCTGTGGTGTCTCTTTAGATCAGAAGCAGAGCTGCAGGTCTTTCCACACTGATCACAGGTGAACCCCATTCTGTAGATGGACTTTGTAGATCTGCAACAAACACAACAAAGACACGTTAAATGATTATAATATGTTTGACATTGATGGTGGTAGAAGTGAGAAATGACACAGTTCTTTTCAACATCAAACATTGTGTTCTGCAATCAAAGCTGGTTCCTCCCGACCTGTGGGCTACACCCCCCACCCTGTATAGGAGCCACTTCTACAGACTCGGTCCTGGGTCTACAGCCTCAGTCCTGGGTCTACAGCCTCAGTCCTGGGTCTACAGCCTCAGTCCTGGGTCTACAGCCTCAGTCCTGGGTCTACAGCCTCAGTCCTGGGTCTACAGCCTCAGTCCTGGGTCTACAGCCTCAGTCCTGGGTCTACAGCCTCAGTCCTTGGTCTACAGCCTCAGTCCTGGGTCTACAGCCTCAGTCCTGGGTCTACCGCTCCTTATGGACCAATGGCTCCTGTGTGTTTGCATTTCTTGTTTCTGAACTGTTTTAATCGTCAACTTTGTAAAGTCGTCTGTGGCGACTGATGTTGTGATTTAGAGCTACATACAAAAATAAATGTAATTGAATTGAATTACTAACCAGACCCTGTCTTTAGCTTCAGAGGTCTGACGGCACCTCTGAAGTCTTATATTATTAGAATGGGGAGGCAGTGTCCAGATTTATGCAGTTACAATCTTCCTGAAAATGTGAGACAGGTTTCTACTCAATGTTAAATTCAATTCAACTTTATTCCGGACTCATAGTCCAATACAATTAAATAAAAATAAAGGACAAGACAAACAATTAAAATGGCATTTTAAAAAGACAACCATGCCAATGTTTCCACAAGTCAGATTGATACCGTGTCGCACTCCATTTTATATTCGTGAGGGACACTATTATTTCATTTTCAGACGTGTTCAATCGACACATAAAGCTGTACATCAAAGTTCGTAGCACGGCCTGTAAAGTGTTCACTCTGGCATTAACAAACATTTCTGTGGCACTTGACCATCTCGGCTTTTTCAAAAGCACACGCAAAGCATCATTATAGGCCACCTGGAGCTTACGCATGCTGGCTTTCTTATAATGAGACCAGAGATGAGCTGTGTATAAGGGAGTACAGTACGCTTTAAATAACGTTAGCTTCACTCTCTCTGTACAACAGCCAAACTTCCGTGCCAGGGTATTAGCCTGGGCATACAACACTCTGCATTGTCTGTAAATGTCATCATCATCAGACATGTCCTCAGTGATGATGTGCCCGAGGTACTTGATTTTGGTGACAACATGCAAAACATCATTACACAAACAAAAGTTAGGAAATGTCAGGTTCTTATCTTCCTTGGTTTTAGAAATCATAACCACACTCTTCGAACTATTGTACTTAATATCATGTTCCAGACCATAAGTTGAGCAGATATTAAGGAGCTGCTGTAAACCAGCCGTACTTGGACTAAACACGACTAAATCATCTGCGTACAAAAAATGGTTCATAATAGTTCTTCCAGAGACACAGCCAGTGTGACAGTCTTTGAGTTTAGATGACAGTTCGTCTAGATACAGGTTAAATAACACTGGGGACAGAACACCCCCCTGTCGGACACCATTGCTCACTTTAAAAGGGGTAGATACACTGTTCCCCCATTTTATTTGCACTGTTTGCTGTGAGTACCAGTATGCTAAAAAACGCACAGCATAACTGGGTACACCTTTTTGGGCTAATTTCAAGAATAGTTTTCTATGATTGACCCTGTCAAATGCTTTTGAAGCATCCAAAAAGCACATAAAAACAGATGAATTTTGTCTTCTATATTTAGCAATTACCTCTTTAAGTGCATATATACACATGTCAGTGCCTAACCTGGTCTTAAATCCAAACTGGTTATCCGTAGATCTCACAAGTTTGAGAATCCTTTCCAAAAGGACAGCTTCATTGATTTTAGACACTATACTAGCCAAGGCTATCGGTCTGTAGTTATCTGAACAGCCAAGCTTCCCAGTTTTGTTTTTAATGACTGGAACCAATAACACAGCTAACATAGAGTCTGGTATGAAACCATGCACAAGAAAAGCTGTGAAACAGATAGAAAGCAGTGGGGCCAGCCTCACACTTGCAAACTTTAAGTGCTCAGCAGAGATTCCATCCAATCCTGTACTTTTGTTATTAGACAAATTGGTTATTGCCCTAAAGACCTCACTTGTCGTAATTACGTCAACATTGTCAACATCATTTACAGTATAGAGTTCACTCGGAACACAATTAAACAAACTGCGGTAATGCTGCCGCCATAGTTCTAAGATGTTCTCAGTACCAGAGGCACCATCCACCACACAGGGCAGAGATCTTTTATTCAAAGATATTCCTTTCACTTCCTTCCAAAAGTCGTATGTATTGTTACAGGAGAGTTTCCTGGCCATAGAATCAGCTCTCAGCGCTCTCTCATTTTTACTTTCTCTTTTTAGATTTTGGTCTTCGAAGGGGTTTACATGACTCGTACAGCACTTTAACAATATCCTCATACATAGAACTGATGACAGATTTGTGATCAGAATTATTGCAGTTACCATCTCTACACATCATAGCCTCTTTTGGCAGATAGATATTACTCAAAAGAGTGTCTGTGTTCATAGTGTACAATAGTATATCCTCACTAGAAAGACAACTCCAATCAATGTAGGATGTACCACTTTCAATTTTGTAACTTTCTGTCAGGGGCAGAAAATGACAATTTATTTGCATCCCAAGTGGAATGTGGTCAGCAGTTGCAAATTCATAGTAAATTTTTATATTCACCAGAGACGCATGGGCATCTGCTGTAGCTATGCAGTGGTCCAACCAAGAGGTTGTATGCCACGCCTCACTTATGTATGTAAAGCTATCAGCTGGCAAGAGAGCTTTAGTAGATAATATCAACCCATTATCCTCACAAAATTGGTTCAGATGGCTTGCAAATAATGATTTACTGTCTGAAATATCAGAGTTCATGTCACCAACAACAAATACATTAGAAAACGTTTTATCTTGTATAAAAGAATTAATAAAAGCAAGTCTGTTAAGATATTCCGTTTCATTCTGTTGACACTCATAGGGGGTGTAAACATTTAAAATAACACATTCCTTGTCCTTCAGTGTTAAGTGTAATGCTATACACCAGTCCGCTTCGAGTCTGATAACATTGGCATAAGCGTCAAGTTTTTTATTCCTAGGAAAGTTAGCGTTAAGTGAGTTTAGTCCCCCCAAATCCTGTTTAGTTAGAAACGTCTCTTGTAGACAGAGCACATCGCACTGTTCAAGCAGCTGATCAACAACAATCCTTCGGCCTCTATCCTCTGCACTCCGCCCCAAGCGCAGGCCACGACAGTTGTACGACAGTACTTTTATATCCATCGCAATCATGAAGCCTCAATGCCAAGGGCCTGAGCCCCACTCAAAGTAGCACTCGTAACACTAGCCTTGCTGCGAGGCTCATAAAAACGCCGCACATAAGCACCCACAGGCCAAATCTCAGGATTGTACATCTCGGCCACTTCTCTGCACTCCGCCGTAACTTTAAAGGAGGCAAATCTACTGTTTACAGTGACTATCTTCTCGCACACTACCTCACGGCACAATTGATCTCGAAGATACTCCATTAATGTTTGTCCATCTAGGTCAGGCGAGAATTTAGAGGCGAAGACACTCACCAGTTTTGTGGTCACAGTCTTAATGTGGCTTGCTGCTCCTGTGCCCACAATCGCCAAACTTTTTCCAGGCTTTCTCCCTGGCGCGGCGGCGGAGCGTGGTCCTACTACCGTTCTAGCCTCAAGCTGCCGCTTTCCTTTTTTAGCAATAGTACTCCATTTCGGGGACCCAGGATCTTGCAGGGGTTTCTCATTAAGGTTAGCCCCTGTGTTGACGCACAAGGCGAGGGCGCCGTTCCCATCACCCCTCCCAGCACACTCTGCAGCACGCTCTGATCCCTCCGCCGCGTCCACCGCTGAACCGCCGCTCGCCTCCAGCACCGGTGCGCCACACGCGTTATCCCGAGTAGCATTACGAGGCACCTCCACGTGGCCCTCCAGGCTGGACACCCGTTGGCTAACATCCGCTGTAATCATGCGGAGATCCGAACATACGTCCACCTGGACTCGAAGCGCACTCTTCATGGCACCGATATCAGCCTGGAGTTGCTCCATTTTCATGAGCAGTCCGCACACATCCAAGCTTGTAAAGCTCACTGGGGGCAGATTTTCCAGATAATGTGAGACGAAATGAGGAGCCTTTTCACCACACTCATTTAGTACTTTCAAGCAGCTCTTTATGTTATTAATGTCCTTTTGCGCACCTTTATGCGCCACGTTGCGCTGCGTAGTAGGGCACAGCTCAAACAAAACCCGCTTGGAGGCCTCTATTCACTCAGAGTCAAACGTATTTGCTGCCAGTAGAACAATTTCATCCTGGCTTAAAGTTCTTAATTTCACTGCAAGAAAGTTCAGGAGTTCATCCTCCACAATTATTTTACCATCCACGGTTCTGTAGACTTCAGGTTTTAATCTACACCGGCCAAGAACAGGAGCAGCTTGAGCGCACGCTGCTGCACCCTCCGCCATATTGCAATGTTTTTATTATTGTTCAAATCCAGACTGAAAACAGTTCTGTTTATCTGTGCATGTACCTGAAGGATTGTCTCTTTATTCTAATTAATTAGGCCCAAGCCCCGAACGGGGTAAGGGCCTATTGCTTTCACAATGGTGAATGCAAATGGTGGCGGTTTGTGACGGACGCGTCAACGCCCGCCACTCACCACAACATGACGGTTGCGTGCGTAAACTCAAACGCTTTAAAATGATGTATCACGTGCCATTGAAACCTATATTGTTTTTGCTCGAGACCAAAAAATGTCTTTGAGCCTTAATTTCACCCCCTGAACATGACTGAAAAGTTGTTACATTTTGCCCAAAAATTTGACCTGGTGAAAAATTTGATGAAAATGTTGGTGTTTATTTTTATGGGACTCAAAAAATGCCAGAACA